GAGAGAGAGAGAGAGAGAGAGAGAGAGAGAGAGAGAGAGAGAGAAAGATAGAGAGGCAGAGAGAGATCGATAGAGAGAGCAAGCAACAGAAAGACAGACAGAGAGGAGAACATACATGTGTGAGGCACTCACGTTCCAGCAAGCATTTCCCAGATCAGCTATCTTCATGGGTATTATCACAAATCTCATGATAGAGAGAGAGTGCGTGTGTGTGTGTATGTGAGTGAGAGAGAGAAAGAGAGAGAGAGAGAGAGAGAGAGAGAGAGAGAGAGTGCGTGTGTGTGTGTGTGTGTGTGTGTGTGTGTGTGTGCGTGCGTGCGTGAGAGAGAGAGAGAGAGAGAAGTGAATAACTTACGTTCCAACAAGCGTTTCCCAGATCAGCTATCTTCACCGGTATATCACAAATCTCATGGAGCGGGTCATGGTTCACAACTTGATCTGCCGAAACAAAAAACTCGACACGTTACCACGGCAACACGAAAACAGACAGTAACCTCTTCCCCAACTCTCCTCTCTACACGTTGCAACATAGCCGACCCTTTATTTGTTGGTTTCCGCGGCGACAAAACGCAATTGCACACGGCGTAGTTAAGTTGACAATTAAATATAACGTGAGGTCAAGTTGAATTAATTTGTTATTTTATGATGTAAAATTATTACGTCACAAAAGCCAGTTAATTTCTTTAAGTAGATTATACTATTATACCTATAACACATTCACGAAACACCACCATTGTGCAGCTATCTCGTATTTGTGAGTAATTTATTTCGCGGTAAAACAAACATACAAATACGTAAACTCAAACATACATAATACATCATATATACATAAAAAAACGTACACAAAAACAAACACAACAAATATGAGAAAAAAATCTACACATCTTCGCAATTCAGTCGCAAAAGACAGACAAGTGCTGCCACCTACCTAGGTAGCTCTTCGAGTCGAAGTTTTCGAGCAGCGAACTGGGCGGACCAAGCGGGGACAGCAGGCCGTCATCTTGCTCCGCCGGCGACTGCGGCTCGGCGTCGGCCGCCGCTGGCTCCCGACACTCGGGGGCGCCACCGCAGCGCGTCTGCCCGTTAACGTCGCCATTGCACAACTGTCCGTTTTTCTGCGACTGCGACTGCGGCGGCGCGCCGGGTGCCGGGTCCGAGTCCTGCTGCTGCTGCTGCTGCTGCTGATCGAGAGACTGCGTCTTCTCCTGGCTGTCCTGCTTCTCGACGGAGGAGGAGGAGAAGGTGTCAGCAACCTTCTCGTTGTCATCCTCCTCCTGCTTGTCATCTGTGACGACAATGTGTCACACGTTAGATATTGTCACCTGTCACCATCTTGCTGTCCTCCTATACATACTGTCACCACCTGCCAAATTTTCTTCATATATGTTTCAGAAGTTATATATGTTACAGTTCAAGGCAAAGTGTTGCCTTCAGTTTAATTTTTTTCGGATTTTAGGGCACAGTTGGTAGTACTGTGAAAACCTATATATAGAGAAACTTAGAATGCAGAATTTATAAGAAGAACTTATATACTAAATATTCTAGAAAAGAAGACTTATCAAGGCTATGGACATTTTAACAGCACTTGGACACAGAGCGATACAGATACACAACATAGAGACTTTATGGGAAGGGCACAGAGGCAAACCAGACAAAGCAACCACGTCGATTAATTCCTGTGTATATCGTCTAATATTGTCGCAATTTTTAACAAATAAAATTCGTTTTTAACAAATAAATTTAATTAATGAATTATAAATTTTTTTTTAATTGTAAATTTAATAGATTTTTAACATTAACATTATTAATTAGGTTAGTTAACATTTTTCGCAATATGGATAGCGAGTGGGGAGAGCAAAGGTGGCTGTGTCTGTGTCCGTGCGGTCTGGTCTGAAGCTCTAACCTTGCAGCATGGGAACAACACAGAGCAAACATGACACCAGCCTTTGCGCGACCCATACATGACCTCGCGTGACCCCTGCGTGACCTCGCATGACCCCTGGCTCGCTCACCTTCCTTATCGTCGCTTATTAGACCATTTTTGTGTTGATTCTCGCTCTCCTGCTCCCGCGGCGCCACCTGCTGCTGGTCGTCCGCGAGCGACGTCTGCAACTTCTCCTCCGTCTCCTCGCCGTTGGCGGGCGGTTGCCGCGGCAACTCCTCCCCGGCGTCCGCATCCTCCGCCTCGAGGCTGAAGTCCTTGTCGTCGGGAAGAGGCAGCGTCTTGCTCTTCCTCTCCTGGAGAGAGATCGGAAGAAAGAGTCGTTATCGAGAGAGCGAGAGAGAGAGAGAGAGAGAGAGAGAGAGAGAGAGAGCGTAGAGAGAAGAGACGACGAGAGAGAAGAGAGAGAGAGAGAGAGAGAGAGAGAGAGAGAGAGAGAGAGAGAGAGAGAGAGAGAG